TAATTGACTAGAGCCGCACAGATTGTATGTATTATACGTTGAAAAGAACTAGAAGACTCATGGCATCTCCTATGTTCGATAGAATACGGGAACGTTACGAATTATAAATTTGTTTAATTTAATTTATTCATAATATCTGGTCGATCACAAGGATTATATAGCCATCATAGTCGTGAATATAAGACAATTATTTATAATAATTGCAACTGACATTCGCTGAAGATTACAACTTCCACTCTCGTAAAAAGCGAATACAAAACCGAAACGAATGAAGAAACGTGATGGACGAGCGATTAACGAGAGTGCCTTGGCTCTAATTGCTTTGAATAACGGATTAGCGATAATTTTCGGAGGGTGTTTCGCCCGAGTTTCTCAACTAAAAGTAATGAATAATACACCACGACAAATCTCCAGCGAGTTAAGGCTGGACCCCTGATTTTCCATCCCATTCGGCTGAAAACACTATCCCGACATTTGTCGTATAAATCACCTCGGGATATGTCGAGGCGAGTAACAAATTCCTATTTCTACCATTCCGTGTTCCAGTTCTGGCTGGATGTCGCTCGATTTTCCATTTCCCCTCGTGTAGGTGTAAACCACGTATATATAGATAATTGGAAGTATCCATCCATTCGTGAGAAATATCTCTTATACCACTCTAATACCGCGTAGAAAAAGCTTTATCAAGTCACGTACAATTTCCGACACAAAGTCCGTTTAACAGTAACTTTCTCGATGGGTAGCGTATTACAAAATACGCCGGGACGACGACTTAATTTTATGGCGTTTCAAATTTACATTGCTTCAAAGACGAATACGATTTTACATAGTCATTTTTCTGAAAGTAAAATTACACTGTGACCTTTTAACTTCCTATCCTATCTCATATTTCCGTTTTTGCCAATGGGTCTATTTACGAAGTTCCTTCAGCTTTTTCGGAGGATGAAAACTTTTAAGAGCGACATTCGATATTTTACAGTAAAACAGTACAGTCGACAAGTGTGACGTAAATATTAGTTTTACATAACGGACGTGCAAATAACATTTTAAATAAATAATATATGAATAATATTGCAAAACTTTCTTGATGCATTAAATGGACCGACCCGACGTACACCAACAATTATCACGACCGCTGTTGACAATTAACAGATTGCTATATAAACTAGAATAACTTTCAGCTACATGCGTTTGCTCCGTTCTAATTACATGGGAACTGCGACGGAGGGCGTTATTTCCGAACAATAAAATCTTCATCTTCATGTAAATGAGAAAATCTCTCCGTTGAGATTATCGATTTTCTTATTTGTTTCTTTAAAGCATTATGTTTTAGCCTATCGACAGCAAATTCAATTTCACATTCAATTGATTCCTCGAGGAAAAGAGTGCATTTAATAACTTGCACGTATAATATTTGTAGTCACGAGGGAATAGTCTATGTGCAAAAAGTCACGCTGCTGTACAAATCGTATGTAAATATCAAATAATATTAAAATATTACAATATTTAAAGTCAAAACGGTCTATAAAATGATGTAAAGACTAGAATGATCGTTTGAATAACTATTTAATAAATTATTACTATTCAACATACTTTAAGTGCGACAAAGTATTGTATCGAAATTAATAGACGCCGAATTTTTATTTGTTTATTAGCATGTCAATGAATAATTGTTTCTCGCGCAAGGACTAACATTTTTGCATATAAAATATTCCCTTTAAAAATGAAACAGAAGCAAACACAGCTCTTCGATTTCTGTCTGCTTTAAATCATATACGTCATAGGTAATATGCAGTTAGAACCGATGCTTTCGTTAATTACTTTTAGCAGTATATGCTGAAGCGACAAGTGTTCATTTGCAAGCTACTGGCTTCGTTATACCGAGTCTCTTTCGGCTATGTTGGACCGATCCCGTAAAGTTACGATATCACGATAGAAACCGGAAGTACCGAGACGGTTTAGAATTTAGGATGGCGAAACGTAGTATTGCCGCTTTATAACATTTGCCTAAAACGTCGTTTGAATACTGGCAGTGGAAATACTGAATGTATTCACTATGAAGTGAAGCGAATCGTGCTTGAGTCAACTCGTTTCACTCTGCAACGCTATTTCATGTTATCTTTCGTATTTCATGGTAGTAAATTAGTTTCATGAAGCAAATAGAAATGCAATGAAATTCACAAAAAATTTCTCGTTGATAAAAAGCACTGGACAAAGAAAAAACGATCCGACGATATATTCGCGATTGAAACTGAAATTAACTTAATTTTAACTTAACGTTAACTAATGTTAATGTGAAAACAAATAAAAGCATTAACTTAAATTAAAAAGATCACCCACTTGCGCTGACAAATTTTCTATAAATAACGCAAAAGACCGTCGGTTTAAAATAGAGATTATCATCGGTTTAAAAATAATATTAGCGGTATAAGATTTTAAAAAAAGCCTTTTTCCGTTTTTATTATGCGTCGATAAAATGTGTAACAAAAGAAATTTAATTATGGAAGTAATAAATAGTTCAAAGACTATGCTAAATGGCATACGATGTGATAACATCAAATGCACGTTAGAAGTTCAATGTTGTACATATATGACAGATGCTCTATAATGCGGCATAATAATAGATAAACTTTTGTCTAAGTTTTTTTATCCATTTGGTTAAACTACGACAAAGACAAGAGAGACAGGTTTCCGACCATCTGATCGAAGCTTCTATAAACAAGTAATTCTATAAATAAATAATTTCTTGTTTAGCGACGTTCTCGAGTGTAACGCGCGTAACTTACTTGAAGCGCGCCTTTTCAACAACTTGTCGATTCGTACAGCCAACAATGAGTGTTTATTAAACAAAGACCGCCGACCTGCATTGAACGTTAAACATTCGTCTTCCTCAAACGAGTTTCAAGATACCGATGCCCTCGAAGCGTTTCACTCGAAACAAATGCATCGGCAAATTTATCCTTCTACCATATTAAATTTCTTTTTCATTCACCTTATTAAATATTTGTATGATAATATTTGTATTGATTTACCTTAATCGATTTATCCGCGTAATTAACTTGGAGTCATATCCGCGTAGAGAATGTTTTAACATGATTAATACACATACGCTTGTGCATCAAAATTAAATAAATTATTATTGTACAAACACGTATGAATTACATTTATCTCTTTACGTTGTAAGCGCGATACACAGAATGTCGACGGGATATTCTGATTGCGCTTTATTTTTTGCAACAATGATCTTTACGCGAAAAACTCTAAAAATAATGCGGAACAAATAACGCGTTTACCATAATGAATAATCACGAATGCACATAATCAATATGAATTCAAAATTATATCGCTACCCGCGGTGGCAAAAATTCATAATATAATACGAGGATATACAGCAGCAATATTATTCTATGAATTTTCAAATTCGATGCATCCGCGAGCGTGTTCACGTTAAACCACGTGCGAGTAATCCCATTGCAAGCATTAGGTGCTGAAAGTTTAACCAATGGATGAGAGCTGAGTATGTTCGTGGATTTTCATCAAAATTTCAGGAGAAATCGTATCGGGGCAATATTCTCTGCTAGCCATACAACTTCGCAAAACTTTTCTCTTAGAGAATCTGATTCGATTCAAATACACATCCTGCTCCGAGCTACGCAAATCCCCATGCGTCGTATCATGCAATAAGGGATTCGTGTCAACATCCGAGTGTTCCGAGGAGTAGCAGCAACTCCACTGGGGCAAATTTTCGCGTACTTTCTTTTTTTACTTTCGCTCGGATTTTTCGTTCTCGTGCAAAAAGAACCGATAAATTATGATTCGCCGGTGCCGATATAATGAATTAAAGTTCGGGAGCGGCTGCCTGAAATTTGATGGCTGTAATTACCATATTTATTTTGTGGTGAACGTAAGCAAATGAAGAAATTTCCGGGGAATTGGTTTCATTACCGTCGCGTCGAACAAAGATTTATAATAGCATCTTTGCGTCACGAGATATTTTTCCTAATGGGCGAGTGTGTGTTTATTGTTACCATACTATTTTCTTTATTAATTTTATCGCAATAACAAGATGAGTCAATTCATTATCGCTCAAGTGCTACGGGGAGAATTGACGTATCCCAATTTCCTAATTCTTTCTTTGTATTCTTATGGAACTATACAGGCTGAAACTAACAAGCAGCGAGAGCCACTCCCATAAAGGCTGAAATATACTTCACTAGTGCGAAGCAGAAATAGAATGACAGGGGGGGGGGGGATATAGTTCTTATAACAGGGCACTCGGGTCTTGTGTGAGCAAATTGTCATGCTATACTTATAAGAAACTGTAATTTATAAGATATCTCGCGAGACAAAAGTCGCAACATATATTTCAAGTGGGAAAATGATTATAATAGTATTTTTATTAAAAAAAATGGTTTCTGATTTTGCCAATGTCTCGATGAATACAATTGCACGCTACGCGGATTTTTATTAGCTCTGCGAAAGCTCGATTGAAGATTGTTGCGGTAGATAAATTACAGTTCTCGGTAAGCGTATCGGTAATTTGTTTTCATCTCTATTGATATTTAATTCATCTAAATACAATTAGCCACACTTTATTTGCATATAAATGACATAACGGCGTCGCGCCATTCAGTGTATTTGATCGCGACTTGATCTACTCTTTGTCGATAAAATTTATGCGACGCACAGTTGACGCGATACGGCACAGTAAAATACTTAGATAATAATAGCCTGGTATACATTTGCATTTTGTAGCCGACTCGCGGATGCGTTGAATTTCAAATTTGCGCGAATTGTTTTCGGGGAAAGGCACACAGCCACATAAAAGGACGACGGCTTTAAAGTGCATTCCACTTCTGCCCTTCCCCCTATTCCGCGATAATTCTTCTACTGGCTTTCTCCATCCGGCCGCGACAGTAATGCGAGATCAAATGCGAATCTGTGGTGGTGGGCGATGGTGCTACGTAGAAGGAACCTGCGTTCAGTCCGACGCGAGCCACGAGAGGAGAGCGTACACTTCGCATGCGCATCCCCTTTACATCCCCATGAACTACCAGTCGCTCCGGTAGCGTTGACGTCGACGTCGCGTTGTTGTAGTCGTCGCCGTCACCGGTGCTGCGACGACACGCTCTTTCTCGTCGCCTCGCCTGTTCGCGAAGGATCCGCACAATTTTTTCAATTTTTCTACGCACGCGGAAACGTACAGCGTGTGTTACTCGATTCTGTGTGGCACTGATTGTGTTCCTCGACAGTTTCCACCTGTCGTACCGCTCTCTCGGACGTTTCATCGACGATTAAATAGATCTCGAAGGAAATTATCCGAAACACCATGCGACAGGCTGTCATTGTAAGACGTGCGAGGTAAACAACGAATGAGTGTCCGACATACGAGTAGAGTAACATTATTGAATACCAAACGCACAGTTTCTTAAAGAGTAAATAGTTAAAGTGAGAGATCAATTAGGCGTTGCCATATTAATTTATTTGTAATGATGGAACTTTAGTTTTATGATAATTTTACGGGAAAGTTTAAGAGTCTTTGAAGCCTTTATTAAAGAAAAATCGCGAAACGAACAACGTTCTTATCGCATGCGGTCATGCGCGCCTTATGTACTGCAGCTTTGAAGAAGCCGTATAAATATTTATTCTCGGAAATATACTTATCTTTAGACATAAAATTGAATTTTCATTTTACTGCGTGTTCATATTTTGCTGGTTGAATATTTTATTGCATTCCTGTTTACGCACTCACAATCAGTTGTTACAAGTTGCGAAGCACGATGCGAAAAAGCAGAGATTAAATCTGAGCTCTGCGAATGAATGTAAAAAGCATAAGCCTTACATAGGTAGCTGCGATTATGTGACGGTATAAATAAAATATTTTCCGTTTTATAAAACGGAATTTTATGGAATTAGTAGGGATCGATTTAAGTGAGACTGTATCTACGATTGAAAATATAGAGATAAAAAGTTTCGAATTAATACCAGTGCTCAAGTACTTTACATTTACTCTATATTTTGCGCGTTTTAATAAATAAGCATACAAATGTGACGAGAAAATTCAATAGCAGAAAACGTGAAAGTCGTTCTTGATTCAGGTTCTTCATTCTTTGTAAAAAAAAAATGTTACGTGTATCGACATATAATTACTTCACTTAATGCTATTCAATAATGCATAGTAGCTGTTTCTGCTTCATTCACGTGTGAAAATAACGCATATATTGTTACGCCCACGCTGATACGGCCGTTTGAATTGAACTTAACGCAGCCGTGAGCGTGAAAAAGTCACAAAGTATTTCACTAACAATGAGCCGCGGTTGTCAAACGGTTGCTAAGAAGATTGAGAGACGCGTAGCTTTCTGTTTCGCTACACTTGTTAGGTCTGTTACATAATACGTCGTACGTTGCTGTCGGATGTGGGGACGTAGCCGATTTAAAAAAAAAAATTGTCCCATTGGACCATCGGCTACGTCCTGACATCCGACAGCGGTAAACGACGTATTGTATAACAGGCTTTACAGAATGAATCAGTTCTTTCCCTGAGCTCAGTTTAATTATTTCCGCGAGTTCCGGAGTGCAGGAGTGCGGACGCGAGTGCGCGGACGAGGTGCGACATATGAGCGTCTCTCGGGCACAGTAGTATATGTATATAACATATATAAATGAATCTGTATATAAAAATAATTTGTATCTACAGGATGCCCGACATTCGCGCATCAAAATGCTACAGTGAGATAATTGTCGAAAAAAAATAAATAAGAAAGTGTGTCATTTTTCGTTCCGAGCGCAATTTTTAGAAACAAAAAAGTTCAATTGAACCTTTTTATCTTGAAAAGTACTAAAATTCGCGAATCAAAGTACCGTAGTAAGAAAGTTGTCGAAAACAATTAATTAAATACGCACTTGCCATTTTTCCTTCCGAGCAGTGTTCTTTGACATAATAGGTTTAATTTAATTGGACCTTTTTATTTAAAAAAAATATATACTGCTCAGAACAAAAATGTAAATATTTTTTAATTTATTTTGTCGACAACTTTCTTGCTACGGTAGTTTGATTCGCGAATTTCGGGACACCAGTACATGAATTATTTTTATATCTAAATTCTTTTATAAATATAAAATATATATTAGATATTATTAGGTATACATTTCATATATTTTATATGCATATATAAATCGTAAAAATTTTATACTCCGCTTTTGCTTAAATAATTATTCAAATGTACTCTATTCATACAAGCCAGGAAACAATATTCGTTTCTATTGATTAAACTGTTTCCAGGATTAATTACGGTAAGAGGTATCCGAATGAAATGTTGTCTGTGCCAAATCGATGAGAATCCTTATGGAACGCTTATAAAGACGTCTGGCATGTTGTAGTTGTATCTCTCATCGTGAAACGACCGCAAAACGAACCGCGTAAGTAGTATTGGTTTCTACCTTTTCCTTTCTTTTTAAGCAAGAAAGCGATTGTAAGAGTTTTCGCAACTTCCGGATAAAGAGTATTTGACTCCTGCTTTCTAAATAAAAGCTACACTTTTCGACGCGCCATGGCGAACTCTCGCAATGAGGAAACCGAACGTGGCGGGACAAATGAGATTTCGTAGAGAATTACAATTTGCGTTTAAAGGGGGGAGAAAACAATATCTTTGTTTATAAAAAAAATTTCTTGCCGCACTTAACGATTAGGCGAAGTGGAGAGGCACCATTTTTACGTGATGGATTTCACAATATTTGATAAAATATTTATTAACCGATAGAAGACGATTAAAACACCGCAACGTATAAAAAGAGCTTGTCTAACAGCGAACAAGGTTTAAGAAACGTTTCACGTGTTTCAACATTGCTCCTTCTCTTGGAGAGACTTTATCTTGGAAGCTGTGTGGCTATGTTTTTTTTCCTCAGTTTCTTTTAGGGCATTATGTTAAAACATTTATAATGCTTCATCATTGTGTAGCTTGTTTCTTTTGCCGCCTCTCACTTTCTGCGTCATTCATTGTTGTATTCGAGATATGCAATCATGCATACACCCTCTCGTTGCTCTTTTTTTTTCTCACTTCCTCCTTTGCGTCAGAAGAAAAATGTCTCGCTGCTTTCTTGAGGCGACCTAACATATTTATTGTATAACTCAATTCGTAATGATATATTTGATCAAAGAGAATTTTCAACCTCCAACGAACATTTACTAATAATATAGAGCACATGTATCGGCTCTGTACGTGCACATAAGACATGTAAGAGAGTATAGTATTCTTGCGTTACATAAAATAAAAAACTTCAATTGTTCATATAATTATAGGCTCATTAATTTATTTATTTGCTCTGTTATAGAGCTGGTATTTTGTTGAATATTATTGTCGCTTAAACAATGTTGACGTTTCCAACGGATCCGTAAAATTCGCGCTTCCTAACTGTTAGACAAAGTAAGTTAAATGTGATTAGCGTTTTTATTGTAGTGTATCGCGATGTCGTAAACAGAGAATAAATACTATGCGTGTCGAGAATTCGAGTGTAGACGCAGCTGTGCATCGCGTTCGAGTACGTTTAGCCTTGACGTAGCTACGTGCTCAACGCGGACAATTGAGGATCTTCCTTTTATAGGATTCTTTAGTTAGAGGAGAAGCAAACAGCAGTAGCACGTTCGCGATGGCCATATCGAGACCGTAATAGGTCTCGGGTGCCATATAATAAAGAAGACGAAGCAGCACGTTGACGACGAGAGCGTGCAGATGGAATTCAGAAGTACGATATTACGATATTAAAATCCTAAGCGGCGCGCTCCACTTCTTTTTGCGGCCATTTATGACACAGTGCTCAAAGTGCGCGAATGCCATTAGATCGTATTTTATGCAACAACTTCTGACGGGATGCGCGAACTTTAACACCCGTATGCACGCGGGGAAAAAACGAGGCTTAATTATGATGAAGCTATTTCGTAGCTTCTGCGCACACGCGCGCATATAATTGAAGGTGCACAAAGTTACAACGCTATTGTTTTTCAAGTTACTGTGTCTTGGAATACGCCACGTGGAAGGTACACGAGCGAAACTGCACGCCGGCTGCGTAACTTTTAATTTTCGGGGAGATCACTTAAACATTTCGAGCGCACTCGCCAAGATCTAAGATCGTCTTGATACTGTTTTTTTTTGTTAAAAAACGCGCCTGAAATTGATAAAGAACGAGTTTGTAACAGTTTATTGGAGTAGTTTTACGCGGATTAAACGACGGAGGCTTTTACGTAACCATGTATTATGCAAAGGATTACCAGATACTCAAGAAACTTTAGAACGGATTATTCGAGAGCACAAAATCATTTAATACACGTACACCCTCGCGTGTTGTACGTCACTAATGAATTTAATGCTCGCATTCAGACGTGTGCACTTTTCCAAAATTATTTTTTCAACTTGACACGCCTTTCGCGACGCAGAATATATCTGCAGACGTATCTCGTTGCTCTTTAGGGAAGGGAAAAATTCGTACTAATCTGCCCGAGAGGGCAAACAAATGCAAAATCCGTATAGACTGAGATTTATGTTATTATGCTAAAAACTAAATGTATTACGTTTATACTAAGACAAAGGGAAGCTGGATTGAAAGGCTTTACTTTTACGTCGCTTTGACGCAGTCCTAATGTTGTCTGCTCTCGTTGTTTGTACAGAGATGGCTCAGGGATTGATTCTATGTCTCGTCCGCGCTAAGACGTGCCCGCACGGGTCTTGATCTCGTCTACTCATCGTCAGTGATCTCGTGCAGTACGGCTAGTGACTTTGTGCCGCGTTGTTTCATTGGGACGGTAATTTTTTTTATATTACATATTATTACGCTAGACGTAGAGGAAAGTTTTCTACTATGAGATAAGCTCCTGATACGAGATAGCAGCGTTTTGTTTTTTGGCTAAATTAATAGGCATCGTCTGTCGGTCTCATTGTTAATTTATTGCCCTTGGAGTGAAATCTGTTTAGCGGAGAATTCATTGTTATATCGCGTAATTGTTGTGAATAAAGATTTGTGATGAAATTTTCACGTCGAAAACCTGTTATCTCATAATAGGGTACTTTCTTCTATTATGTTATATGTTATTATGCTAAAAGTATTAAAGAATATCGCGTTGTCTAGCGGGCTCGCATATCACAAAGGTTCTTAGTTCCCCATAAATCCGCCGGCACCCTCTCTTCTTCTCCCTTTCACGCGTATCACGGCTTAACGCGCGACGCGCTTTAAGATTGAGAGAAACCGGCGACCTATGATCGATCAACGGTGTCCCGCTAGTCCCGTATCAGACTGTGACGTCGTAATTATCGTCGTAAATCTTGTCTGGCGCTGCGCATTAGGGAAGTTAAAGCTTGAAATTCCCACGGGTTCGCGCGTCTATAATTAGCGGTGGCCATGTCGGGCTCATTTCGGCCGCATATTTCTCGCTTCGAGAGAGACTCCGGGATTCCGCCGTTGCTGGATGGACACCTTATCTCGCCGTCACCCGTCTATGTTTTCACACCGAGGAATATAATCTGTGAATGTCCCCGATTATACGCCCAATCTTTTAATTCTGCCATTGCTCCTTTATGGCCGCTTTTATCGTAAACCGAATTTACAACTTCCCTTCGCAGCATCACTGCCAAGCTTTGCGATGTCTCCGATCGCACATAATCTCAGATCGTTTCTCTGAAGCTTGAGTCACGGAATATACACGTACAAAAGTTTTCACGTTAGGAAATGTGTGTGTGCGTGCGTGTGTGTTTGTGTGTGTGTGGCTTCAAATGCTAAATAAAGTCACAGTTACTGATCGATCAATAGTGTCTCCCGAGCGACTCACATTTAAAATAGCTAATAATAAGACATGGTGCAAGCAATTTTGGCTTGTTACTAAGATACATGGCGGCATTAAATTCGATTAATGTAGGAAGCTTGCAGTCAGGCATATTCCCACGGGCACGTTAAAAGCGTATAACCGCTAACTGCGAACGGCTTGGATCCTGCGAATGGCCTTTGGCCCAACTCGGGCGACGATACTTTCGCTTTATGGAAATGTGCGCGCGTATTTCGCCGGTCGAAACCGTCTCCCGTGATATTGCATGCGAACTTTCTTTTACCGCCGTGACATTCGTTTGAGACGTTGCTCGAAGTAACGTTCAATTCTGCACGCGCGTATCGTTGCTTGTATTATAAATAAGTCGAACACTCGGCGCACGTTGCAAGAATACCAGGTGTAACATTCCCGTGGATGCGCACTCGTGACCGATCAGAATTTTGCCCCGAACCCTTCAAACCATTGCGGTTGAACGCCAGCAAGAACCGATGAACAGTTTGCCCCAGAAATTGGTTGCGCAATGTTTCACCTTGTATTTTTACATGGTGACTCAGCGTGTGCCCTTTAGTCCCAGTCTACAATAGAGATTTAAACATTTTAAACCCTAAGCCTTAAGAAATTGACTAATCACAGTCGCGTATTCTACTCGTACTTGACCGTGATTGGTCAATTCTTAAAGCTTAGAGCTTAAATCATCCATTGTAGACTGGGACTTACAGGGATAATCTCACAACTAATCGGCAACAAGTATGACAAACTGCAAGATGCTCGTGCAGAATCTCTTCCCCGTTGAATTTTGCTCACGAACCCGACCAGAGATTCTCTCGCGCTTTCATATAATTCCATCCTTTATTATGTACACTCACCTCGCACTTGCCACGTCGCGTTGAATATTTTTACGGAATTCTTTTTCGTAGAACGCAAGATTGTCCGTGGAACGGAAATACAATGGTTTTTACGTGACTGAAATTGTGTCCCTGCGCATCCGTCGGTAAACGTCCCTTTCCTTGCACCACCTATCATCCATTCTCTCTATCCATAAAGGGTCTCGCTCGCACATACGATAGCGATCCGGGCATCCGTCTCGGTCACGTCTACCATCCGTAACTTCTTTTCAATTATCTATACTTACGCAAGCAAAATTCTATCGTGCTTTCGCGCTGGCAATAAAAATTTCACGTTTTCAAATGATATTTACGAACGGGGCGGAATCGCTACGTCTGCGGAATGTCTTACATTCGCAATACCATTTCGTCCCTTGTTCAACGGAATGATTTTCCCTTTTGTCGTAATTTACTTCACGTGTCCGGCGCTCGTATCAACATGGAAAAACGTATCCCCTAAGTCTCCCTTATTCGGCTTTTTTTTTGTAATTATTTATGTTAGGCTCGTGGTGATCTTTTTACGTCATAGTGAAGTTTTTGTCTTTCTATGACTAGCGGAGTATGTATGAATTTTATTTATGTAATTTGCCCGATTGCGCGCGCGAACGTAAAAATAATCGTCTTCGTAAAGCATCGATCATCCGCGAACGAAAGTTTTACATGATTAATAATTTTTATTTATACACTTGGATGTTCGTCGCGTCAAGTAAAATCAATTTTATCTTTGGTAAATTGATGTTCGTTTAATTGATGCTTCATTATACCTATTTGTGACGAAAGAGATACTTAATTATATTTCGAACAAAATGTAAGAAAAGTAAAACCAAAGGGAATTTAGGTTGCGAGAGTTTGAGCACGGAACTTGCAATCAACAATTGTGTAATATTTGAACAATTATATTAGATTGACACGCACTAATAACCGCGTTTGACTCTCTCTGCCTAAATCCTTTTATTTTTACTTTTAATTTCGAGAGTCCGGTCACTTGTTAATTTTATATTTTTCGCGATATCTTTTACTATTACCAGGTCCACTCAAGCTTGATTTACTTGTATTTCCAAAATGAGTAAAGCCGCTTATTAGTCTCTTAGCCTTCAAGAATCACTAATAACTCACGATCCGCTTAAAAGAACGAACGATATCTTTCGATAGTTCCTATAAAGTAATTATTTGAATTGAAGCATTTCGCTTCAACGGTAAAAAGTGCGACAAATACACAATACAAACTCTTAGGGTGTATACGACATAATCCAAGATATCAAAATGATTTCGAAAAGAATCATATCGCGACGTAAGGACATGGCAAAAGCGGCGTTAAAGGCTGAAGTTAAAGTAGTTACGGGCGTAATTTTCTGCGCCTATAGGGACCGTGGACGTAATTAATCCGCGTATTGTCCTAATCTTACAATCGCGTGCAAGGCATATAACCATATTCATGCAATGAGATATTTTAAATGCATGCATACTATGCATGCGCTCTAACAAGTGTAGATCTTTTTTTTTAAATATTCATGTAACCGCGACTGCGGAAAGCTTTTTCAGAAGCAACTCGTTTTTATTTTATAAACATTATTGTTTGCGTGTCGATTCACGCTGAACTATCGGTCTTTTTCAACACAGCTATCTGATATCGAAAGCTTTGGGACCATAGCTCTTGTACCCTTGTCGTTGAGCCTTGCTCGAGGAATGAATGCGAATAATTGTGTTCGACGCTCATTGACACCCGGGAAATATCCATTTCCGTGTGTCAATTTAAAAGATCGATTCAGAGCGAGCCAACAAGGACGGTCACGAACGAGTATCTATGGGCGGCCGGGAAAGGCGTAAAAAAAGCGCTCTATCTTTAATGCACCGAAAAGAGACGAAATTTCATATGTACTCTCTAAAAGTCAATCAGTCGATTATCGCTGAAAACAGTGAACATTCGCCGATTCCCAGTTATAAGTGTAGCACTGAATTATTCAGTTTTCAGTGCTGATGCACGGGTTGACTTTCAGAGAGTATACGCAAATTTATTAGACGCATTCGTATTCGCAGTGTCATTCTTATACTTGTCGGAGTACCTAGGCTCTCTCATTCGGTGTCTACGCTCTTCACATTTCGAGTCCGTATCCCAACTTTGCGCGTAAATTTCCCGTAAATATCGTTTACACGCGAGGTATCGATTCGCTCGAGTTGCCGACGCACATTGTCGTCTCCGCACATACAGATCGGATTATATTCCGGTGAAACTAATCGCGTTATCTCCATATGATCGTAGACCGTCAGATAGTAGACAAACTCCCAATTATTACCATTCTCCTCAAACATCCGGCCATCTCCCGTGACACTAGAACTTCGTCGAGTTTACGAAGACAGAGACAGACAAAGAGAGAGAGAGAGAGAGAGAGAGAGAGAGAGAGAGAG